GTTCGGATGACAATGCATGATTAACAGTGTGACGTCATTCTAAATCCAATATGGCGGCATACCCAAAATGGCGGACCAATCATTTTTAATGCATTCCTACAATATGGGTATCAAATTAAAGGGCTTGCTGAGAGTAACTCGAAAAAAATGTAACGTCACTCTCAATCCAATATGGCGGACTTTTAAACGCGTTCAGTTTGTTTGACAATGCATAGTTAATTGTGTGACGTCATTCTAAATCCAAGATGGCGGAACACCCAAAATGGCGGATATTTTTTTTCTTTTTAGCGCATTTGAATAAAAGCTTGTTTTTAAAAAGGTTTTTTTAACCTTAATTTTATTAAGACACTGCTTAGCTCCGCTTAGCTTTGTGTATGTACAAAGGCACGCTTTTTAGCGCACGCACCTCTTTCTAGTCTCTTGGTGCGATAAGCTCGCTCTTGCACATTAACATTGATTTAAATTTTGTTGTAAGTGAATCCAGATTGATTTATTTGTTTCTTAGATTGATTTGATCGTATGACTTTTCATTTAATTGTGGGTAACTTGGCTAGAACTCTAGTCGCGTAGCCAGTGAAGAGCTATAGTAGATAAAATTAGTTTTTACGGGTTAATGCACGAAAACTTTATTTATTTATTGACGTTTCGTAGTCTTTACAGGCTACGTCGTCAGAATAAAACTTTTATTTAATTTGTCGAGCTACCTTCGAAAGACTTTTATTGAGCGTTTGGTTATTTCATTGTTCGATTTTTAAGTTTTATTGTCTATGTATGAATTTATTATTTAATCTACTTAATAAAGTATTTTATTTAAAATTCTTTCTTGTTTGTAATTTTGGGTTTATTTATTTGACCCTAACTACCGTAAACTACCACCGGTTCCAAAATTGGGAGACCTTCCTGAGAAGAACCGGCGAAACAAACTCAAGAGAGGCTTTCTATCTCCTTCATATGTTAAATTATGCAAACAAAAAGAACTAATAGTATCTGATGGTCTTGCAGTGTGTGCTCGGGGTTGGGATTTTATCTCCTGTATAATTAATGAGTGATGTGCGTGAAAACCTAAGAAACAAATAAGCTATAGTAGACCTGGGACTTCGTAAAGTTCTTTCTGATCTTCTTCCGTGGTATCGACGTTTTGGACATCGATCGTGACATTTTATGTCTTCACTATTCAATTGGTAGATGCTGGAAAAAGGTCAAATTTTTTGTTCTGATTATTTTTTTTCTGTTTATTTGTCAATGCCAAACAAGGTTATTTTTTTTATCGACATAATTGTCACATTTTCAGTAATTCTTGACATGAAATTAGGGTTGTGTAAGATTTGCGTTACGATTGTAGTGTATTCGTTGTTTAACAAAATGGCTCTCCGCGAAAGCTTGAAAGGATGACTTCCTATACAGGAGAATTTATAAAGAACGAATGAATTTCTCCTTTCATTTAACTGATTTTGCGTTCAAAGAAAAATAAGATAAACCAGAAATATTAGATACTAAGCCGAGATATGTCAGCGGCATATGTCGGTTTGGAGAAATATAATACGATTCAAATAAGAATGGGAAAGCCAATGACCTCCATCTGTCAAATGTCGCTTGAAAAGTACGGTTTGCAAAAAAATCTCGGACCACTTTTTTAACACTCAGCTAGTTCTAGAATAAAAATCAAACATTTTTAAACAAACAATAACAGATATTGATAATTAATATTTGTTGATATTTTTTTTTCATTTATTTAGCTTTGGCTATGAATGGTTGATAACCTAAATCGTCAACCAAATGTCACTTTATGTTGCGTTCAGAAACTCGATTTAATACTTTCGTTTATGTATAGGATGCATGTTCGTATGTGACCTGCATGATTATTCATAACTACTTCGGCGGTAATGCAGAGATGAGCGCAATTGAAGAGCTAGATTCTGATTAATGTTTTTTCTCACACAATCTTAGTAAAGAAATATGATTAAAAATCGTTTGTTTTCTCTCTCAATCTTAGTAAATTAATTTTATTAAAAAATCTGATGTTTTTTCTTACTTAATCTAAGTTAATAAGTTTTATTAAATAGAAACTTTTTTTGCTCACTCTACCTATTTGGTTTGTATTGACAGCTATGACGTCAAAATATGGCGGCCAGTCGGTCCTATTCTTAGTTGAATCTCATTATAGGTCACATTTCATTATTAGGGAGGTTCACAATCCGGCATGGACAACAAGTTTAATCTGTTCCTCAACAATGGGTCCGATTCTGGCATGATAAGCTAAACTTGAAAACAGTCTATCCTTTTCATTCTGTATAAAGTATGACAAGGATACACTCTTGACAAATTTAAATTTAGGTATAGAATCATGCCAGAATTAGGCCCAATGTGACATGTCTATGGGCGTTACCATGGGGACTTATCATGTCATTGTATAAATAAATAATACAAACCCACAAAAAAGTACCCTGCGCGATAGACCAGTCAGCAATAATGCTGAAAATTTAAGTTTTTCGTGTAATATGGTTTATGTATATTTGTTTCTTAGGTTTTCACGCACATCACTCATTCAAAAACTAGTTTTAACGGGTTAATGCACGAAACTTTATTTATTTATTGACGTTTCGCAGCCTTTTCAGGTCTGCTTCGTCAGAAGTCTGACGTCAAATTCTGACGAAGCAGACCTGAAAAGACCGCGAAACGTCAATAAAAAAAAGTCAAAAAATTCAAAATTCAATATCGTTTATTCTGTCTAGGCTGTTACAAGCACTTGTGAATATCGAAAAGCTACGCCATCGGTTCGCAAATCTACGGCGGGAGACCTTGTACTGAGAAGAACCGGCAAGAAACTCAGCAAGGGCTGATTTTTTCTCCCTGTTATATTTCATACAGTGTCGTCCAATTGAAAGTTGACATCAAACTTGCAAACATGTGTTGAGGTCAACTTCCATCACATAATGTCAAATATGTAACAATTGACAATCAACGAATTTACTAACAATAAGTGCAAAAAAATATCCCTAAATAGCAAGAAACAATTTTCAAAACAAAATAAACAAGTATATGAAAGGGAGTAAGTGCAAGGTTCTCTTCATAACTCATACTAAGGGTGGGAGTCTAAGTTTCAAAAAAAAAAGAAAATTTCGTGCATTAACCCGTTAAAACTAGTTTTATTTAATGGTTTATGTTGTTAAAAAAACGCGAACCACCATATTTGGACTCAGCGACCCCGAAAACATAGTGTTCAGGTAGTGAGTTTTTGGTGGGCCTATGTAAACAATAATACATATATACATATACAAAATATTTTAATATGTCAAATAAATCTCTGTGCTATGCTCTATCCCCCATAAACTAATACTTATCTCAAAATATCTACGATATCGTCAAGCAGCATTTTGAAAGACCGAAATTGTAATCCGTCCGTCTGTCTGTGGTGCTGTTTCAGCGGCCAAACCGTAACTGATAGATAAAGAGAATATTTTGTATTAAACTTTGTATTAAAAAAAGAGGTACATGTTGCTCAGGAGAGAAAGGGCATATGTATGAGGATGAGACTAAAGCTAAGTCTAGCTACGCCGTGTTTTTTTCATATCACTCAAATGCCATTTGTCATTCACCGAACAGAGACATGGAGTAGTTCGATGGTGTGGTTAGCGCGTTCGGTTGCGATCGTTGAAGTTAAGCAATTTTCCCAGTGGTCGGTCATTGGATAGGTGACCGAAAATCTTCTATCTCGAGGTCAGTCAGTTCAGTTCGGTCAGTTCAGCGGCCAAACCGTAACTGATAGATAAAGAGAATATTTAAGTTATAAGTTAAGAATAGTCTGATAAGACTACAAACCGGATTTGAGTAACGTAGCACTTCCGGTTTTCGAGAAATCACGAATTTCAAACGAAACCACACAAAATCTCCGAAGTTCTCAATTAATTAAATACATGTTTTTTAAGTCAGATTTTGGTGAACATTTGGTTCACTGGTTTGCTAGTCAATCTCTAACTGCGAATCGGTCCTCCCACCTTAGATTAAAACAAAAAGGATAGATACAGTACACTCATACCCCTTCATGGTCAACTGTTTTGATTTGAATCAGAGCCGAAGGGTGCTTTGTGATCACAGTTTTGTACAGGTGATGTTGTCAGCATTATCATTAATGCAATGCATTGCATTTGTAATGGAAAGTGACTTTATGAGTTATCTCATATTGAAGTAATTTTTCAATTTGACGACTCTGTATACAATACAGGGAGAAAAAACAGCTGAGTTTCTTGCCGGTTCTTCTCAGTACAAGGTCTCCCGCCGTAGATTTGCGAACCGATGGCGTAGCTTTTCGACATTCACAGGGCTTGTAATTCACTTGTTGAAGGTCGCGGGAAGCCGATGGACGCGAGTGGCGTAGGACCAATCGATGTGGAGATCCTTGGGGGAGACCTATGCTCAGCAGTGGGCGTCGTACGGCTGACATGATGATGATGATGATGAGTCAATGTGTGTGTGTGTGTGTGTTTGTGTGTGTATATGTAGCGACGAGCATATATACCATATTATGTAGTAGATATTTTTTTCGTCGCTTCCGTGCAGTTAAGACTGTATGTAGTACTGTATATTATACAGGGTGTAAAAAAACCTATGACAAAGACTTAAACTTCTCATTCTGTACATCCAAACAAGTCATATCACAAAATTGTATAGGTGGGAAAAAAATGTATTTTACGCAATGTATAGCGCGGTGCGCTCCTGTGGCGCTACGCAAAGAATGTGCCTGTGTGTATGTGTGTGCGTGTGTGTAAGTGCGTCGATAAAAAAGTTTCTAAATATTAACGTTTTGAAAATATTAATGTATAAAATTTGAAAAAGAAAATTGACATTGACCTTCAATATCTCAATAACCATTAATTTGCCAGGTATGGTCCAGAAGAAAAAAATTATCGACATGATGTGGAAAATACTTTTTTTACACCCTGTATAATCAAAGTATATGAAACTTAAAATTATGAGTTAATTTAATTATCCCTTGTTCCCAGTGAATCTTGGAGCATTTGCTGCAGGCGCCTGCATCGCCTGGTCATCGTCAGCACTTCCTCTATTACACCACACGGACGTAAGTGATGGATTATTATTATTCTAGAGCCTGGGTTCCGAACCTGGGGGTTTTTACCCCTCCGGGGGTAAATCAGCCATACTTCGGGGGTAACAAAGAACCTAATTATTTGGTCAAATCTAAATAATAAGAAAATACTATATAATAATACTTCTAAATAGAGCATGCTCTCCTTCTTGCTAGCGAGCCCGCGGGGTGCTGAGTGTGGGAAGCGGGGCGAGATTTCCTCCTGATGATGACATTATTGGAGACGAAGATGTAGCGGCCAAATTGGAATTTCTTGGACTGATGATAATATTTTAAAGTAGGGATAAAATCTGTTTTACGAATAGGTTACAGGGGTAGCTGTATTGGAAAGCCTATAATAAAGCCTATTATACAGGAGATAAAATCCCAACCCCGAGCACACACTGCAAGACCATCAGATACTATTAGTTCTTTTTGTTTGCATAATTTAACATAAGAAGGAGATAGAAAGCCTCTCTTGAGTTTGTTTCGCCGGTTCTTCTCAGGAAGGTCTCCCAATTTTGGAACCGGTGGTAGTTTACGGTAGTTAGGGTCAAATAAATAAACTCAAAATTACAAACAAGAATTTTGAATAAAATACTTTATTAAGTAAATCCATACTAATATTATAAATGGGAAAGTGTGTTTGTTTGTTTGTTTGTTTGTCTTCTCTTCACGCCTAAACCGCTGAACCGATTGTGTTGAAATTTGGTAAATGTATAGCTTGAACTTATGAGCCTGCTATAGGCTACTTTTTTTTAATTTATATATTCGAATTTACATAATTTTCAACTAAATTAATCATTTTCATGGTTGGTCCCGATAGAGATGGCGCTACTGTCACGAAGACAGATTAAATTTGAAATGTGGAAGTTGCTATCTTAACTTAATAATACGAGATGGCACCACTCGTGTTCAATACCGAGTATTTTGTGTTAGTGTTTCATTTATTAAATACGCAATAAAGGTAATTTTACGCAATTTCTTTCCAATCTTATTTTTAAAATTAAATCTAGCAAATACTACTCCAAATTTATAATATTAAAATATCATTTTCGAGTGATTATAGATAGAGATGGCGCTACCATCTCGAATACCAACTCAACCGAGTAGTCTCTCTTGAAATAATATTTTCTGAGTAACTTATCAGATGGCAGCACCCGTCTTTAATATCGAGAATTTTTAATTGCTAAAAATGTGAGTTGTGATATTGCGTTTTTTCAGATCGCGCTATTTATGAACATGACTTTTTAATATTTATTGTTAATTTTAACGTCATGTAGGTAGATATTTTAATTAAAACAATATTAGTAAAAAAAAACGACTTCCTCCAGTGTCCTAATATCTTACCAGAAAATCTTATAAACATCAAATAGATATTAAATAATCAGCTGTTTACAGTAGACAGATATTAAATAAACAGCTGTTATGATTTATTTTAGTCCCTTAATCGAGTATTATCCAATAATTTTCAAGTGGAGATGATCCCGGATGTTGAGTAGAGGTAGGCGCTACCAACTCGAATAACAATTCGAAAACCAAGCTGTTGCGTGTGAAACTGAAGAGATGTCGCTACCCGAGTCGAGTTTACTTGCACTAAAAATCTGAGGTTTTACGGATGGCGCTATTCATGAACATTAATTTTTTATATTTATTGTTTTTAACTAGCTGTTACCCGCGGCTACGCTCGCGTGGTGTTCCTATTTGAGGCTATCATCCTCTTTTGACATAGTGAGTAAAAAAGTAGCTTATAGCAACCCAAAGCTTCAACCTATTAGTGCAGTCATTGAAGCGAAAAACGGTCTTACCTCCAAAAATGAACCGTTTTGCATGAAATTTTGGAATTAGGCTCACCTTACCCTTAACTTCAAAAGTGAAAATGATCTGAACTCCGCCTATTATTTTTAAGGGGTGTAAACAACCCCTTAATGGAAAAATTGACATTGAGCCATTTTATAGCTAGAAAACATGTCTAATAGTAAGTGATGAAATTGTAAAGTATTTTCTAACATAATTACCCCATATTAAAATCATTTTCAACCCCTTGAAAATCTTACAACCCTTGCAAACAACCCCTAAATTGAAAAAATCACAAAAAAATACTTTGGTATGACATAAAAAGATTTTGTATTAGAATGCATAAAATGCATCTGCTCGCCGCTAGATGGCATTGACCACATCGATTAAATTTCAGACAAAATAAAAAACGGCTTTGATATCTAGCTTAATATTGCACTTAGAATACTCTATAAAAAAACCAAATTGTTCATTGTTTTCCCTGCTACAATTTTGTTCTTTATAAAATTTTCGATAAAACTTACATTTTTGGAGATATTTGCAAAAAACCGATGAAAAACGGGAAAAAATTTCGAATTTTCAATTGCCAATAACTTGAAAAGTATTGGATTTTTTGAAAAACTTTATAGATGATTTTTTGCTTAAAATTTATTACAATACTTATTTTGAAAAAAAAAATCACCCCCGAGAAGGGGTGGCAACCATCATTTTCACTTTTGAAGTTAAGGCATACAATTTTGGAATTAGGTTCATCTTACGAACCTAATTCCAAAATTGTATGCAATTCGGTTCACAGTAAAAAAATTCGGAGTAATAATGCTTCAATGACTGCACTATATATACTTACCAAATTTCAAAGTGGTTTAGGTTTCGAGGAAGGATAAACAAAACAAACACTCATAATAATACCTAATACTACTATGGATAGTACGTAATAAAACTTCAAAATGTAAAAGCATTAGTATTATTAGAATAAAGGGTTTAATTATTTTAAACACATAGCAGTACTATTTAAGTACGCTACTGTACACGATGTTATGTGTTTTTCCATAATTTTTAACAGTGAGTCAATTTTATACATTCGAAGAAACTACCAAAATACCTACATCATTTAATGCACAACAAAACCAAATCACAAAGGAAAACAAAAACAGATATGGTACCTTGGTAAATCGTATTTCTTTAAAATCAATCAAGGTAGGTAGGTACCTACTGCTTACTGTTCCTTAGCTGCTGAAATGGCTCAATGTCAATTTTTCCATTAAGGGGTTGTTTACACCCCTTAAAAATAATAGGCGGAGTTCAGATCATTTTCACTTTTGAAGTTAAGGGTAAGGTGAGCCTAATTCCAAAATTTCATGCAAAACGGTTCATTTTCGGAGGTAAGACCGTATTTTTCGCTTCAATGACTGCACTAATAGGTTGAAGCTTTGGGTTGCTATAAGCTACTTTTTTACTCACTATGTCAAAAGAGGATGATAGCCTCAAATAGGAAAACCACGCGAGCGTAGCCGCGGGTAATAGCTAGTTAAATAATAAATTCATACATAGACAATAAAATTTTAAAAGTCTTCCAATGAAATAACCGAACGCTCAATATAAGTCTTTCGAAGGTAGCTCGACAATTTTAAATAAAAAATCATTATTCTGACGATGCAGACCTGAAAAGGCTGCGAAACGTCAATAAATAAATAAAGTTTCGTGCATTAACCCGTAAAAACTAGTTTTATTTAACGTATTGGAAAGGTTAGGAAATACTGTTCTAGAGTATGCGCGTATCACCTGCCTACAGAGGTAATCCTATCCTGTGGCCGCACTAGGCAGGGTTGGATTTTGTACTATAATTATAGTATTTATACTATAATTTGGCCCTTTGTACTATATACTATCTACATTTCAGGATAGTACGCTTAAATACTATAATTTGAAGTTTGCTCCCGAATGCTTAGTTTTACGTCATATTTTGATTATTTCGACTGTACGTGTATCCAACCGAATTCTTATCAGGGTTCCCAACTTAGGGGTTTTGCCCCCAGATTTAGGGGCTAGAAGGGTTAAAACGGACTTTTTTAGGGGCTGGAATTTTTTGGGGGTTCTTTTAGGGTTTTTTTTACAAAACTTTCAATTAAATCGAAAAACAAAGCGTGTGTTTTCTTTCAGCTATGAGCGTAGAATCGAACGCACCACTATATGAAACGGCTGAACTCACTGTATGGCAGGTTGTTTCCTAAGGCTGTATGGACTAAAGTTCTTTGCCTTCCACCAATCAAAACAGCTAAATAAGATTTAACAGCCTGTCAGCTCATTTTAGTTTGATTTTCTATTCGGAAAATGTATTTATTCAATAAAATAATTTACTGTAACTAAATATGTAACGTTTTAATTTATGAGCAACGAAAAAATTTAGGCAATAACATAAGTAGGTACATATAAGATTCTATATTTAGGGGATTTTAGGGGAATTTAAAAAATACTTAGGGTAAAATTTTGGTAAGGGTTGGTAACACTGATTCTGATCTTGCGATGTTTGCTGTGTTGATGGCCGGGGATTCCCCGATTATCCTCTGCAGTACACTTATCTCTTTCTACTAATCTGGTCCCTTCCATTCCATTCGAAACTCAATCAGAGTTTGCTCAATGTTTTAACAATCGCTAGCGAGTTTTTATGCAAAAATAGTACGTTTTCAGTGTTTTAATTATGGAATGTGGCATCAAAAGCGGTAGTAAATGTGGAAATTGTACTGATTTTATTCCTACTGAGGATAATATATTGATGAGATGAAATGCCAAGGATGAAGATAGAACTAATAGTGATATATTCAAGAACTCATAAACCTATAAGAGGAACAATTTTGAATTAACGGGTGTCGATTTTATTTACTATTGTATCTAAAGAAAAGTTTACTAGAAAAAAATCCACGCGGACCAGGCAGCGGACGGGATTCGAACCGGCATCCTTCGCTATCCGGGCGAATGCACTGACCATTATGCTACCACGGCCCTATTAGCCGCGTCGAAATTTTCCTAGCCTTAAGCTGCAAGGCAGCGCCATCTCTTCGTATGTTAAATATATAACCATTACCATATGCCATACTATTGTATGTTAAATATAAAAATGGGTGCGTGTACTTATGTAGGCGCTTCGTTCGTCGTCATCGTTTAAAATTAGTTTTTAATTACATGCAAATAATTAATTA